GTTCAAGGTTTAGGGTTTAAAGTTTAGAGGTTTGGGGTCTGGTGTTCCTCACGAAGTTATCTCGGAATCGAAAAATCGTTTGCATGGTGCTAGCACAGGATTTTGGAGGATGCGGCATGATAACCGGAGCTATTGCCATGTGCAGGAACAAGTTGCGACCTGGGGACCCCTCAAGAAAAGCTTAGAGAGCGCCCAATTTACCTCTTTTTCGGAAAAAACCGTCCTAAACCCTAAACCCGAAAACTAGCTACCCCTCCATCGCTCATTGTGTTTATGTCCAGCTTTCACGGGTTTGGACAATGTCGGCCTTCGGGATTTAGCCTCTGCGGGCTACCTTCGAAGTATTGCAGGGGCCTTAATAATTAGAATAGGGTTTGCGGGGTGCGTTATACTATAATCATAATAAGGAACCACCAAAATAGTATAGGCAAATTATTCTGGCCTGTATAGTATTGCTCAATTTGTTCAAGTGCTCAACAAAGCCCTACTATGGAGGGCACCTGTGATTTTAGAGCCTGCGCGGTCGGCACCCTGGCCCCTGCAACCACTTCCGAGCTCGCCGTGAAGAAACTGCACAAAACCCCCCTAAACCCTAAACCCTAAACCCTAACCCCTAAACCCTAAACCCTAAACCGGCGCGCCACCGTAAACCCGAAGTCCTGGGAGCCTCAAGAACTCTCCATCCGAAAGCGAAGTGGGGAGCGTGAAGACAAACCCTTACATAACGCAACGGACAACCTTGATCATGGGAGGATCTGTGCTACAGTTTAGGGTTTAGGGTTTAGGGTTAGGGTTTTGGTTTCGGGTTTGGAGTTTAGGGTTAAGGGGTTTAGGGTTTAGGGGTTTAGGGTTTAGGGTATTCTTTACTGAGGGCGGAAGGTTCAAGCATGAAAGTTCTGCACAAAAGCCTAGAACCCGACATCCCAAACCCCTTCGAACCCCATTCAACACAGAAACGGCCCAGAAAATCTCGAGGCCTCGCCCGATTGCCTGAGACCTCGGACCACCTCCAGACATGGCTTTAGGGTTTAGGGTTTAGGGTTTAGGATTTAGGGTTTAGGATTTGGGGTTTAGGGTTTATGTTTATGGTTCAGGATTGAAGGGTTTAGGATTTGGGGTTTAGGGTTTAGGGGCTTCGAGGCTTTCCAGGCTTCGGGTTCCGCATCTAGGGGTCATGGTCTCGAACAGGAAGCACCAGGGTTTTTGCGAGGGTCTAGCATTAATCCTAAACCCTAAACCCTAAATCCCAGACCCTAAACCCTAAACCCTATAACCCTAAAGCCATAAAGCCTTAACCCTGAACCCATAGGCGAGGCTTCGGGTTCAGGGTTGCCGATTTGGAGCAGAATCATCATCGCGTCCACACACAACGGGAGCGGGTTTAGGGTCGAGGGTTTAGGGTTTAGGGTTGAGAGTGTAAAATTTAAGGTTTAGGGTTTAAGGTTGAGGGTAAGGGTTGAGAGTTTAAATTTAGGGTTTAGGGTTTAGGGTTCAGGGTTTAGGGTTTAGGGTGCAGCAGCAGCAGCAACAGCCAAGCACCACACTCCCCTGAAAATGCAGGCAGAAATGGGAGATTGTGAGCATGAATATGACGAACATAACTAGGGTTTAGGGTTTAGGGCTTAGGGTTTAGGGTTTATGACAATGATGACGATGATGCTGATGACGATGATGGCGACGAAGATGATGGTGATGCTACTGATGCTACTGATGCTAGTGATGCTAGTGATGCTACTGATGCTACTGATGCTACTGATGCTACTGATGCTACTGATGATGGCGACCATGATGGTGATGCATGGTGGCGACGTTGACCATTCTTGCGCTGATCTTCATGATGATTGCAAGACCCAGAGAGCCCAACACCCCTTAATTAACAAATATACCTTAGATCATAATATTAAGGCCCCTATGGTTTAAGGTATATTCCCTAATTAAGGGGTATTGGACTCTCTGGGGAACGACCAAGGCCATGCTCGCAAAAAGACCGGGCCAGGGCTTGGATCTTCAAAAGGTTGCGAAGCTGAAAGGTTGAAACCATCGGCCCCTGGTATGGGCCCTTAACCCTGGGATCCTTATACACCTACTATATACCCTATATGGTCACTGGAAACGCCTAAGGGTCCATATTAGGAGCCCATACTTCTAACCTTAGAGAATCAACGAACGCTGATGAGTATGAGTGCTGCTTCGAAAACTCACCCTTGGCAATAGTGCAAGTGTGCATATAGGTACACGTCAATGTTGCCGTTGGCTCAAGCGTCATGTCGGGGACTTAACAATTCGGATCGGGTTTTGGGGCATATTATAAAACAGTTATACTCAGAAACCCACAAATAGTATTGGTACTTAGTCAGGCCCCCTGTGGCACCTGTTGCTGCGAGGGGTCATGATCCGACACATTCAACAGAAATGCATCCAATCGTCGCAGTGGGTCCACTCTAAACAAAATCACGGAGAAAAAGAACGCTCCTGGTACCGTGAGAAACACAATCCGAAATACCAGCTTCTGAACTGGTTGCTGGGCAACTTGCCTGCTGACCTTGCTTCGCATGACTGGCCCACTAGTTCGCCTATGGACCAAGTACCGCTACTGCTCATGGTACTGCCAAGGCTAATGCGAATGCTCATGCGACCAACTGTGACCCGCTACTGCAATCTCTGGCGCTAGAGCTTCCGCTACCCCCTAAACCCTGAACCCTAGACCCTATACAGCTACTGCTGCCGCTATCGCTATACTGCTACTGCTACTGCTACCGCGACCGCGAGCGCTACCGCTGTCACTGCCGCTACGCCCGCCGCTCCGCTGCCGCGACCGCTGTGCTACGGCTACACTGCGAATAGTATGTACATAGTCTCTTTTGTACGTTGACTATAGTACATATTATACAGTGCATTGTACAAAGTACCTGGTACATATAGAGTACACTGTGTATAGTATATAGTATACAAAGTATATAGTGTTAGCTGGTGTATAGTTTGGTACAGTACAGTACGACTCTCTCCTGCCCTCAAAGCTGGCCTCCTGCAAGGATTCCAACGCCCCACCCAAGCGCTCATGCTCCTGGTTGCGGGTGTCCTCCTCCTCGGCCTCCCAAAAAGAAAGAGTCCCAACGCCAGCAGAGTTATTGCAGGCGTTCTCCCAGAAGCTTATGTTGCCAGAGCCCTTCTTCGAATCGAGGGTACATGGAGGGTCTAGGTATACTGCCCGATGAGATTGCCAAGAGGAGTTGTGGCTCTAAGTTGCAGGGGCTTGATTTGTTAAAAAAGTGACCAAATGAGCGGAAGCATCGCAAGCCCGTCGACTTTAAGTCTCAAGCCCTTGACCGTAATCCACTCTGCAACATCAATGAGGAGTAAGACTTCGCTACAGCTACTATATACATCAGAAACAATGCGGAACCAGTCTAGGCACATGCAGAACATCATCTTGTAGACCCTAAACCCTAAACCCTAAACCCTAAACCCTAAACCCTAAACCCCTAAACCGGGGGTCCACTTCACTTCGAAACCTGGGTCTTCCTCTATCAAACTGCATCCACGACTAGTTTCGGCTACGTCGACGTAGGGCCTCGTTGAATAGGCAAGTCGGGAAAAAAACCATCAACATTTACCGATACAACCTTATGAAACACGATGTTGAACCGTAATCCCGAGATCTGAAACAGTGAACGCTAGGCCTGAAAGGGCTTAGGGTTTAGGGACCTAGACCCTAAATCATATACTGCTTAGGCTTTTTTTACTGCCTGCATCCGCTGAAGCTTGGCCAGGGACACGTTGACATCCCGCAGCAGCCTCGCAAAAGCGTGCATCAGCCAGAAAATATAACTTGAAATCCGTTTTGGGCCTTAGGGCACTAGGGTTTAGGGTTTGGGGTTTTGGGGTCCCTTATACCATGAATATGATAAGGAACGCCCCAAAATAGTGTAGGTATTTATTTTGGCCCCTATATTAAAGGTTGAGGGTTTAGGAGTCACACGACCATGCTGGAAGTTAGCTGCCCGCTTTTCAGGTGGTCCTTCCAATGACCTACTGTCGGGGCCTTAATCATTAGAATAGAGTTTGGGGGGGGGGGGGG